TGGACAAGCATACTTTTAATATTATGTGAATAATTCTAGCGGCAATCAGATTCATTAGCATCTGTCCAATAATTGACTTCATGTCCACCATCCGAACTGAAATTAAAAAGTTTCTCTGTAAATGATAATGTTTGTAAATGTTTTCTTTCTGTAAATGATAAATTTTAATATTTTTCCACTTAGTTTCTCAGTACAACTCTAGTTAATGAATTTGTTTGTTTAGTTAGGTTTCAAAATGTATGATTTACGTTTTAAAATAAAGCTGTAAAATATTTCTGTTATATTTTTATCTTCTGTATGAAATACAATACATAGAGAAAAGAAAAATATGTATACCTAATGGGATCACATATCATATTCATGCCTACAAGAATAACTACCGTGTATACTTATTGCCAGTTTGATTATTATTATGAAGTAAAGAAAAAAAAAGGCTGTGTTATATACAGGGCCATATTATACTTTTTGCCACTTGGTGCAATATTTTAGCTGCTAAATTTTGCAACCTACTGTGGCTACATGGGTTGCACATGCTCTGGCGCTGGCTTTGATTGCATGGTAAACCAAAATGTCTTCTTTGACTAATGCAAAATGAAGCTGCTATGTAGAAATATTGGTTAATAATCTTTCCTAGGATGAATTTTTCTAGAATAATACCGAACAAAAGCGAGAGGTATATAATCTGACGAATAAAAATAGCCATTTAGGTCTTTACAAAACATGGGAAATCATAATGCTTCTACAAGTTTAAAAGACGACAGTAAATAAAGGAACTCTTTGAATTTCTTGAACAACCTGAGCAAGCAGCAAAGGCAGTATTATGACTGTTATATTGCAAATTATGTATATATGTATATGTATATATATGTAAATTAGGGATTATCTCTTCTAAGTCTCATTTAGTTGTATTCTTCATGAGCAATTTAAATTTTGAAAAATTTTTTACTAATTTATATTGTTTATAATGGTTCTTTTGGTTTAAATGGACTAACGTCTTTCTATTGATGGAGTATTGTTTGTGACGCCTGATTTTGTACCAGCAGAAATATAATTTGATCCTTACCTGCAAGTAAGATGAGACACTCTCACTTAATTTAGTTGTTGTTAATTGATAGTAGATTGGTTTGCTTCCCTTGACAAGTCAATTAATCTGTGATCAGTGACAATAACTACTTTTTCAATACTTAAAAATTTTAAACTTTTGAATTTTTTTTGGGGGGGATTAAGGATTTTTTTTACAGATTTTTATGTTTTTAAAGCAATAGAGGTCTAGAAAATACTCATTTAAAATACTGATATATATATATATATATTTTTTAATATTTAATGGTATTAATGGAATTTTCATTCCTTGGAGAAGGTATAGAAAAAGTTTTCTAATTATAAATTATATATATATATATATATATACTGTGTTTGACTACTATATTTTATAGTGGGGCTCCATGCTATATTAATAAGAAGGGAATTGATTGTGATAAATCACTTTAAAACTGCTTGCCTGAGTAAATGCCTCCGGGAATGAATCTCCTTAGGAAAACTGGTTCACATTTGTGTTTTAGATGAGGAAGAGCACAAAAAATCATTCCATTGAACATATTCTGTAACCTTAACCCTATACTGCTCATTGAGCATTTGTACTCATAAAGTATGTAGGTATATCGAGATGTGAATAAATTTACAGACGAGAAATTAATAAAATTTGCTTCACATTTTTCAACAGTTCTTGGAATTTTATTACCTCTGCATAGATAATAAACCTTTATTACCTTTGTATAGTTTTGATGTAATTGCTGTTATATAAATAATACACTGATAAAGAAATTCTATATATGGAAGTTTTAGGAATGAGATAACTTTCAGAATTAATTTTAAAAAATCACATTTTTTATTGCTTCACTTTTTTTTAACAGTATTCAGTGGTAGTATTAGTTCAATAACTTAAAATGTTTCATGCAGATGAGGGATCTTAAATGAACTTTCTCAGAATGTCTTTCTCACAAATGAATTAAATGAATATCATTCTCAGAAAACAAAATATCTTTCAATTTCTAGAATGCTAATGCAAAAATTCCCCATTAACCTTCCAGAAAACCAAACTGTGGATGAAATTAGTTTTATTTATCATATATTAATTGTTCATGACATAGGCCTGAAAAAGTAAGATTGTATATAAAAAAGCAAAAATATACTGTGCATCATCATATTAATTACAATTCCATTTTTCAACCAATAACTATTTATAAAAGAGGCTGTCAGATTAAACTGTATTTTTTAGATAATAATTATTCTCCAAATGGGTTGCAAAAGGTGAGGTTATGAAAATAAGATGAAGAAAACAATCACAATATATCTTCATTTTTTTAATCATCAGTTTAATAGCATATTAAATGTAGCTTTGTTTTACACACCATAGTACTTTGTAAAATTTATACTCGCTGGGGAAAAATAAAGAATAATAATCTATTGTTATTACTATTAAAATTTTCATCCAGTATCAAATCTTCAAATTACCATAATTCTAAGTTTTATCCCTGAAAAGAATTTGAAATTGCTAAAAACATTCTCAGATGGTGGACATGGATCACCAAATAAAGCTAAGCCACATATGCATTTTAACAGTACTTTTACTATTTGAATTATAAGATGGTATTCAAAAGTGTTTTTAATGTCTAATGCAAAGGATTGTTTAAGGAAAAAAGAAAGAGAAAAACCATAATTATTGCAGTTTCAATTGACCTGGAACAACCACCAGTATCACTTTATGAGAGCCCTGAGTGTTACTGTTCATTTTCTAAAGAAAGCTTACCATTGAATTTTTATTGTTTATTTGTATTAATTCTTAAAATAAACCTCCTGTGTACATTTGCTTTTATTTAAAAATATTCTGAGAAAATTTTTTAAATTGTGCCGTTACTCCAATATATTTTGTCAAATCATACTGAGAAAATGGACAATCAGATTCAATATACGGTGGCTCCTAAAAGTGTTCTTACACTTATGATTTTCACTGAAATCCATTAATTAAAAGTAAATGTTCCGAATGAGATTTTAATAATAAGATCTGTAATCTATTCGTAACAAAATTACATGAAATATTTTTTTAAATATAGCGAAACTTTATTTTTAAGAAATTAATAATCAAAAAATGACAAACATTTTATCTCAAAAAAGTCTTTGTACACTGAAATATTTTTGGATAAAATCAAAATTAGAATTAACGTTTGCTGCTTTTTTTAATTTTTGCATTGTGGTGGCATTTAAAAAATCGTTTGCTTTAATTTTTACCTAATAATATTCTATTTATTATTGAAAAATTGGTCGCAGTCATAAAGAAATTATAAACAGCTTTCAAAAATTGATAACTTTTCACTATAGTAGTGGTAAATCAATTCGAAATATCACTAAATTATTTAATTTATCCCAATCTACAGTGCAGTATGTGATAAAACGCTGTAAAGAAGAAAATTGGATTGAAAATAAGGTAAGAAAAGGTCGATCAAGAAAGTTAACTAAACGTGATAAGTGATTTATTATTAGAAACTTTGTGAAAAACCCACGTTTGAGTGCTGTAAAAGTTTCTGCAGAATTTAAGGCAAAGTTTTCTACTTCAATTTCACCTGAAACTGTTCAACGAGTTCTGAGAGAAGCTGGATTACATGGGCGTTCTGCCCTAAAACTTTTTTTGTTTAAACAGAAATCTTAGGCTTTCATTCGCAAAATCAATGATAAATACACCCGAAACGTACTGGAATAATGTCCTATTTGCTGACGAAAGCAAATTTAACATTTAGGTTCCGATGGTCGAATAACTCGATGGAGAAGAAAAAATGAAGAACTTCATTCTAAGAACTTAGTTGGAACACTTGAGCATGGCAGTGGAGGTGTTCTTGTGTGGTCGGTGCATGGCAGCATCAAGACTAGGTAATTTAGTATTTATTGATGGCATAATGAATCATTCTCTTTATTTAAATATTTCAAAAGACAATTTAAAATTATCAGCCCAAAATTTGGGTATTGGAAACAACTTTATTTTTAATCATGATAACGATCCACCTGTGGTGTCTCTATAATTGTCCACAGGTTTTGAAAATACCACCTCAATCACAAGATTTAAACCTCAAAGAACACATTTGGAAAGAACTGGAGTTTAAAGTACGAAAACACGACATCAAAACGAAAAGCGAACTGAAAACAGTCATGATGAAGAATGGATGAACATTGATACAGAAAATACAAAAAAACTAGTAAAATCTATTCCCAGACATTTAAAAGCTGTTGTAGATGCTAAAGGATATCCTACTAAATCTTAATTTAATGAAAAATGAAAATATTTACTAATACGTCAAGATTTTTTTGAAGTGTACGAAGACTTTTGTGAGATAAAATGTTTGTCATTTCTTTATTATTAATTTCTTAAAAATAAAGTTTCGCAATATTTAAAAAATATTTCATGTAATTTTGTTATGAATAGATTATAGATCTTATTAAAATCTTATTCAGAAAATTTACTTTTAATTAATGGATAGAGCCCTATTTCAATGAAAATCATAAGTGTAGGAACACTTTTGGGAGCAACTGTATTTAATTATACATTTATTTATTGAACTTTATTTCTAAATATTTAACAACTGGTGTATGTTGGTCTAAATAGGTGCATTTTTAAAACCTGTATTCTTAAACTTATTTTTCATTCAATGCACATTTTAAACTTTTACTATTAAGTAAAAATTTCTTTCTTATTATTTTTAATCTTATGTTAAGAATTAAAAGTAATTCAAGATCTTCTTTTTAAGATTCAGGTTCGTGAAAATTTGAGATTCGTTTCATTTTCTGTTATTCTATTTCATGATCTAAGAATTAAAATAAATTTTCAAAATCTAACATGAGGGTTATTTTCTTTGAATGTAATATTTTATCCATTGTAGTTATGTTAAAAATTACTGCAGTTTGAAGATGCGTAGTTTATCTGGGGTTTAAATAATTGTCTTCATTCATAGAGCTTTGCAAGCACTTAAGAAAGCATCTCAAGAGCATAATAATTTGATGTGCAAAGAGCCTTTGTGCATAGAATTTAAAGGCTTGGGACACTTTAATAACAGGGTATGTTAAAATATTATATATGAATATGTAAATGAGTATTGTATAATTATTACAATTCAGCTGTTTGTTAACTTTATATGTGACATTTGAATTTACTAAGAATTAATCTTCATATTTGATGATTTCTGTGGACAGCTTCTTTAAAAACAATTTTATATTACTTCAAAAAATCACACTTTTAAAATGTAGCAAACTATGCCCATTAAAACCGGAAGAAAAGCCAACATGTATTTTCTGCTCGAAGCAACATGTATCCTCATATCGTGGATGTGAGGTTTATCAGAAAAAATTCGAAAAGAAAAAACCTGTACCAAGTGCACCAAAATTTAGACATAACAACGAAGATTTTCCTCCTCTCCCGACAAGAACTGATAATGGAAACACTCAAAACGCCGAATCCAGTCGTAATAGAAGTAGAAACATCCAACCTCCGCCTGAAGATCTTAATGAAGCAATAGAATGGATCAAAGACCCCAAAATCAATAACTTATTAAGTAACATCATCAATCATATAAGTAAAATAAGAACAGCGAAGAACTCCGCTGAAAAATTTATGCTAGGATTTCAAGCAGTCATGTCGATAATTAAGTTCGCCGAGGATTCTGATTAACTTCAAGTATCACAGTTGAAAATATTATCTGAAAAATTCTATTCATTAAGGCCATGAACCTCTCTTTTAACTTTAGGCTTCTTTTCAAGCAGCAACCGGAGAGTCAGCACTTGGGTGGGTGACCACCCTCGTGACTGGCCTCGACGAATGACGACCCTGTGGGTGAGCGAAGAAATTCAGGAGTAAACGCAGAAACGTTTCGCCGCTCGGACAGCCACTGCTCATTTTGTTTTCGCTTAAAATCGCAGGATTTTTATCCTTTTGAATTTTTCGCCTCTGTGCGGGTGCGTATTGCACCACTATTCTCTCTATTCAACTGGCCGTATGGCATGATCAAAACCGATTGGATTAAGGCTCGTTGTAGCCAAGGCCAATTTTGTAAAAGATACCGATTAGATTAGATTACTTTTAAAATGTGAACTTACTTCAAAAACTGCTCAGAAGCTTTTACTCATTTATATTATGTCAAACAAGCAAATCAGTTTAGATTGTAATTTAGCAGTTATAACAGAAGCAGTTTTTTTTTTTTTTTTTTTTTTTTTTTTTTTTTTTTTTTTTTACATTAACTTCAACTGCATAGCTCTGAGAAGATTTTCATGGTAAAAGAAATCAGGATAAAAAGTTATATTTTCTATTGCATATATAGATAATGCCTCTATCATTAAATCATAAAAACAAATTCCTCTTACAGGTATTGTATGCCAAAATTACAAATAACAATGCATTCGATCGTTTAAGATATTTAGGTGAATGTGTGGAAAAACAGTTTGCAGCAGCATCAATTGTCTCATCTGAAAAGCGAGGATTTGCACCGCATCTGACAATAGCAAAACTGAATTTTGCAAAGAAAAAGCATAGAGTAAGTACTGTTTTATGCAGTAGTATTCTAGTATTTATAAATCTTCACATCTTTTAGAAACACATTTGTATATGCTTTTTGGTAGATGCTAAAGTTATGAAGGAAATTTATAAGTTGAATTCATCGTGTTTTTTAGAATTTTATGTTTTCAGACCTTCTTAACTTACACGTATAAAACCATGTATTTTCAGCATTTTCATAGCATATTGCTCTTTGCAGTGTTTTGTTTTTCAACAACAGTATCACTTTGGAATACTTTTCAATCAAGTCTAAATTTTCAGTTAACTGCACCTTTCCCCTATAACACATATCAAAATGACACTATACTTGCATTGTAGTGTGGTGTCAAAAAACCACTGATAGTTGGGTATAAATTGATTTTTTATTAAATGCAATCAATCTGAAAGCATATTTAGAACTTACCAAAACCTTAAAATGGCAATAACATAAAAATATGGGTTATATTAATTCAAGACGTGATAAATTCCTTCATTAAAACAAAATTCCTATCAAATAGAAAAATATTGTGTTCTGTGAGATTATAGTGTGCGGATTAAGAGTTAAGCTTTTGAAGATGACATAGAATAGGTATAAAATTAGATATGTTATATCTAAGATTTCTCTATTACTGTATGTTATATTCAAATGCAATTTTATTTCTTGTATGTGTAACTCCACCATACACGTGGTAATATTCTTTTGCTCAGTAAGTTGTTTCTGTAAGAATATTGGACTAAAAGGGAGAACACTAGACAGTAAAACATTTAGATTTCTAATATTTATGGTTGCAATTAATGGCCTTTAGTTTGTTTCTTCAAATCCATTATCTGCCAAGGGTACATTTTTGCAATATGTAATTGAATTTTGAGAATATTTCACAGCAGTCAGTCCCAATTTAATAGTTTTAAAATTTTAAATATCTGAATGATATATATGAATTCATGGCCAAGGAATGATTATGTTCAATACAAAGCTTCAGCATACCTAAAAAATTAATTCTGTTATTTGGCTTATAGAAATAAACTGCAATTGTCATTATAAAGTAACAATGACAGTTAAGTAAAAATTAAATCTATTATGAACTGAATACACAAATTAGATATGGGGAAAATTTTTGTTTTCAAAAGAGTAGAGGGATTTTAATAAGGCTGAAACCTCTTCTATTGCTGGAAAGATTTAATATTTAATTTTGAATACATGAAATGTAAAAAATATTAATATTGTAAAAATATTGGAAATTGTCTGTATGAGAGCTTATTTTTTATTCATATAGGTGTCAACATATTCTTAATAATTAATTACAGATTATTTAACATCTCTGATTGCTTTTGTTCATTGTTGCTGTATTGACATGAGAAACATCTTTAGTGAAAATCTTCAAAATTTTTAGTCTTGCTTGTTTTGAGACTCCTTTGTAGAGCTAAGCGACTTATGCTATGTCTAGGTTAAGCAAACTGAAATGTACTGATTGTGTTAAAGAACTTTTATTAAGAACTCAAATAAGGCACCACGCCTAATGTTTTAAAAACTCAGCCAGCATTTATGGATAGAAAATCAAAAAAAAGTAGAATTTTAAATTAAAACTAAATCTAAGTCTTATGTGGCCAATGGCTATACAGAGATAATTAATGACATAATATTGGCTGTAATGTACACCAGTGTGACAACACAGTCTACAAAAATAAAGCAACGCTGTAGACAGGAATGCTGTTACAGAATTTTAACTAGTAACATGGCCTTCAGCAGACAGAACATGCTCTGACTGAAAACTCAAACTCTCACTTGATTACATTCAAGCTGAAATTGCATTCTGGCAAGAAAATGGCAAGAGATAGTAAAGGTTCGTAATGTAAAGTAATTGGCTAATTAACACAAATACCTTACAAATGTTACCATCCGTTTAACTTGCAAGAGTTGCTTTTGTACAAAACTTAAGATTTTTGCAATCTGCTTTGCAGTTTCCAGACATTTTGGACACTGGTATATATAAATATATAAACACACTTCGTAATTGATAGTTATGAACATCTGCAGCATTATTGTCATTAATAAAAGATTTTTTAAGACCTTACATAGGTCATGATGGAATCTGTATCTCTCTATATATTTCATTCATAATTTAATATTTTTAATAATTATTTAGTCTGTTACATTTATGCAACCTAATAGCAGCATGAGAATAACATCTAAGTACATAAATCATAGCATTGCGTGCATTGTTTTTGGATATCTTGTAGTCATTTACCTGTTTAAATAATGCATTGCCTTTCATCATGGTCATAAACAAAAAAAAAAAAAAAAAAAACAAAAAAAAAAAAAAAAGATGCAGTCAAAATCAACATTATGAAATAAATATGTTATTTTTATGTTTTTATGTTACATATGTTACTTTTTAAAATTTATGGTAAGCAGAACATAGCTGCTGATGTGCTTTCCTTCATTTCAGAAATAACTATTCTATCACTGATAGACTGTCCTGAAATGGCTCCTGATCAGTTAGCCAAGAAATAAATAGTCTTTAATTTCTGAGACTAGGATTAGATTGCAGAGATTTCAAATCTTCACTATTTGTCACTATAATATCATGTTTCAAACTTATCCATTTGACCATATATCCTGGTATCATCTTGAAAGAAAATGTTGAATGAACTGCATGGATTTCCCCATCCTATTTTAACACGTTGACTGCTGTGGGGGTCACCAGTGACCGGTACTCGACTTGGCTACAGTGCTGTGGGTACCACCGGTAACAGGCGACACGTCCAGTAGTAAAATACATAGAGTAAATATCGATACTGATAAATTTTTAAAAAGTACCATTGTTGCTATAATGGTTTGAAGAAAATAAATCGCAAAAATTTAAATTATAAATCGCAAAAATGGTCTACAGATGTTTGCAGGTTGTCGGTGACCCCCAGCACGAAAAATGCATTAAGCATGATTATATAACTCACATTATCTTTTGTAGATAATATTTGAACATAATACACTTTGCATAATAAAAATTTGGTATAAATTGTGTTTATGATACCAAAATTCTAAAGCTCTACCAACACAGTTTAGGAGGAAAGATGATAGAGGGTTGCCATGTAGAGTTTCCAAACTCTGAGATTTTCAACTATAATGTGGCATAAGCAGTTAATTTGAATTTTATTATTTTCTTTTTGGGAAATCTTGGAGGACTCTTTTTGGTCCATGGACAGCAAAGTTGGAAGCTCTGGCTTAAGTTATTTGTGTGAAGGGGGCTTCTTTTACAGTGAGTTAATTATTAATATCCATTTTCTCTTGTTAATGCCATTAATGTAGACTATATCTGCTTTTCATGACAAGTTTTCTTGTTGGTGATAGATTCATCAAGTTCATTCAAAATAATGATTTGTTTCCTTTATATTTCCAGTTCTATTTTATAACTTCAGAGGGATGCAGGGTCATCATGGTGATGAGGTTAAATTTCTCTCTTGCACACATAGTATTTATTGAAATTTTAGATATTAAATTGCTTTTTTACAACATAATTTGCTGTCTTAATATATATATAAACCCTCTCCTGATAAATTAACTAATTTTTTTTTGGTCATTTTGGTCCAACAGTGACCAAGAGTTTATCCAGCAGAGACTGTGGAATACTGGGAATTTGATCCCAGGCAATAAGACTATCTGAATGGTTAATCTTCATGGTTTTTCCTATGTGCAATGTGGATACTAGCCAGTTTTCCTTGAGAGACAGATAACCCTCATGTGCTTTGCCATATTCATAACAATATCATTATTTTTAAAAAAGAAAGAAGTACCTGTGTTTGTTTTCTAATCATACTGCTACTTATGCAACCAGTTTTACTTGAACTGAAGTTTTCTGTACAACCAAGAAACAAATAACAGATCTAAGTATTTATTTTTAAAAAAGTGTCTTGCAATTGAAACATACATATATATATGTAAGATTAAAATTATGTAAATCAGCTTTATAATTTAATTTAGTTATAGACCCTGAATTCCTCTTTTGGGGGGTATTTCCTTTATTATTTAAAAATAAGTAATAACTTCTGTGGAGTGTGTCATCTGTAGATCACTCTATGTCACATGACTTGCGTAATGCTGATTATATAGCTAATTCGGAACCTCGCTTCCATGTTGAATAATTGCGCACTTTGCTTCTACGTCTAATGCAACTAGGGCGCTGCTTCTCTGCTGTCTTATCGCAACAGTATCAAAAATGTAAATATTCAGGAAATAGGCACAATACTAGGCACAAATATAATTGAAATAAAAATGAATAATTTTACTCAGCTGCCAAATTTCCTCTTCATTACGGATTCAGTATTTTAGCATTCTATCCAATAAGAATTTTTCCTTTTCACTATAGATTTATGTTGTACGCCATCCACATTACTTCATATTTTCTGTTTTATTATTATTATATATATATATATTCTTTTTTTTACATTAGAATATGAAAAAAATCCATCCTTCTTTGTATGAAGCATACAAAGATATTTACTTTGGATGTCAGGCAGTAGAAAGCATGCAGCTGCTTAAAATGACAGGTCCAAAGGATGCAACTGGATATTATAGTGGAGATGAAGTGTTTTTTAGTAAGTATCTCTCTTACTAATATGTATTCTAAGTTTTTCGAAAATTAAGTATTTTGAAGCAATATATATTTAATTATGCAAAATGTAAATCCTATAGTTTAAGAAGTTACATGAACAATCATCTTGCTAATAAGGCTTATAATTTATGTTAATAGTGATATGATTATGTTGGTTTTTTAAGATTGGCATATATATAACATTCTCAAAAGAATCATCCACTTCTAACAAAAATACATTATGGCAATATACAAAAAGAAAACTTTATTAAAGAAAATCAGACATCAGAAATCTTACCACATTCTACCAAACCATAATAATGAAACTCTCTCTCTTCCAGATACATTTTTAACTCATTCTTTTTATAATTTAATATCAATGTTGCCAAAATATTAGAACTTAAAATTATGCTTTATAAACAAATACTATCAATTCCCCCCTTATTTGTATTTAAAGATATAATTTTAATCAGTCAGTCATGTCCATAATTTAATAGTTCATCTTTTAATTTCACCCTAGGTAGATACTTTGTTAAAATATTCGCTTCTTGATTTTGTGAACACACAAACTGAAGAATGATTTGATTCATTTCATATTCATCCTTAACAAAGAAATATTTTTCTATTAATGTGCCTTGAACTGCTACTTTGTTTTGATTTTTTAATCCAATCTATTTATGCTTGACAGTCTGTTTTAATTTTGATTGGTTGGTCAATTAGATCATCTTGACCCAATTCTTCAAGTAAAAAGATGTACCATTTAACTTCACATGCACATTCACAGAATGCTAAAAGTTCAGCTTCCATTGTAGAAAGAGCAACTATTCTTTGTTTGTTGCACTTCCAATTTATGAAATTTTTACCTAATTTAATGAAATAACCTCCAAATGATTTTCCATCTTCAGTGGTACACCAACTTGCATCTGATGTAGCATTTAATTTCCCATTGTCTGAAATATACACTAAACAAGCATTTTGTGTTCCTTTAATATATCTAAATATCCTCTTTACAGCTTTCCAGTGTTTCTCTCTGGGATCTTGATTATATCTTGACAAATTACTTACTGCAAAAGCTAAATCTGGCCTTGTGCTTGTTGCTAAGTACATCAATGAACCTAATGCTTCTTGATATTTTGTCTTCGACACAGGTGGCGAAAATGCTATGTCATCAAGATTTTTACCAATATTCCTGGAGTTTTGATAGGTTTACATTTATCCATTTCAAAGTTTTTTAAGATTTTAGTTATATAGTTTTCTTGACTGAGTATAAGTTTTCCAGATTCTTCCCGGATGTGTATTCCTAAAAATTTTTGTGTTTTAGTAACTTCTCATAATGTGAACGATTTAGATAGTTGAGAGATGATGTCATTTATCTCAGAATTTGAATTTCCAATCACCATTAAGTCATCCATATATACTGCTGTGATAAAATATTTGATCTTATCTTTATAAACACATGGATCTGACTTTAGTCTAGTTAAATTCTTTTCTTTAAGAACTTTACATAATTCATCATACCAGCATTTTCCTGATTGTGGTAATCCATATATACTTTTGTTTACAAGATATACTTTGTTCGGATCTGATATAAAGCCAGGTGGTTGTTCCATATAAATTGGTTTATCCAAGTATCCATTTAAATATGCAGTTTTTACATCGAAAAATCTTATTTTGTAGTTTTTGAAAGCTGCAATCGATAGTAATGTTCTAAAGGCTGCAAGTCTCATTACTGGCCTAAATCCATCTTCATAATCAATTCCTTTTCTTTGATTAAATCCGGTTGCTACTAGTCTTGGTTTGTAAATTGTTTCTAAATTACCCTTTTCGTCTCTTTTTGAGAATATCCAGCGGTTTTTAATAACTTTCTTATCGATGGGTCTTTCAACTAATTCCCAGACTTCATTAGCCTCCATTGAACTCAATTCTTCTGTCATTGCATGTAGCCAGAATTCACTTTCAGCAGATTCTATAGCTTCATCATACGTCTTAGTTAATCCTTCATTTGTATTGTGTACTACATAATCTTTTAATTTTTCTGGGGGCTTCATAGTTCACGCTGCTCTTTTCTATACAGAATTTCCATGATTATCATTTCCAGGTTCTTCATTTATTTGTGGATACTCGATTGGCTTTTCCAATGAATTGTTATCATCGTGTTCATCATCACTGTTGGATGGCAAAATTTTCTCAGCTTCTTCATCTGTTGTATTATCTTCTGTATAGTATCTGTCAGTTATTTCTGAATTATTTACATTTCATTAGTTTGTTCCTTATAAAAAATAATAAGTTCTTCTAATATTTGATTTTTATTGTATTTTAAATAATTTTCTTTTAGTAAAGGTGATCCAAGTTTCTGTTCATCAAATTTTACATCTCTCACTTTTTGAATTTTATTTAGTTCAGGGATATAAATTTTGTATGCTTTTCTCTTCATGCTATAGCCTATCATAATTCCTTTTTTAGCTTTTAGATCGATCTTTCTACGTTTTTCTCGTCTTATATGAACATATGCTTCACATCCAAATCTTTTAAGATAAGTAATGTTAGGCTTGCGTCCTTTATATAGTTCATATGGTGTGAAGTGTCTGGTGTGCAAATATAGAAAAATAACACTTCTCTGACTCCTATGGAACCAATATTTTATTCCTTACGATGTTATAGATTCTTATTCATAAGATTTATTTACATTTTACATGCACGTAGCATCGCGTGACAAAAACTCGAAGTTTGTTTACTTCGTTCTTTGCGGAGACTAGAAGGTGTTGCCATTCCGTTTTAACTAAATTTAATAAGAAACTTAATGGAACTGAAGCGACACTACATGGTGTAAACCTTTTATCATTTTTGTGACTCCTGTTATTCACATGTACAGCTACTTTAACGCTTTCAGACCAAAATTTTATCGGTAATTCTGCATCGATTAACATAGTTCTAGCAGATTTAATTATAGTGCGATTAAAACGTTCAGCTTTTCCATTACTTTCCGGAGTATAAGGGGTTGTAAGTTCATGTTTAATTCCCATTTTTTCAAAAAACTCTTTTATATTTTTAGCTAAAAACTCACTACTATTATCACTACAAATTCTTTTTAGTTTCTTTCCTGTTTGTCTTTCTTCTTGAATGATAAGTTTGATTAGAGCTTCTGAAGTTTCACTCTTCTTCTCAATTGTTATCACAAATATGAAATTACTGTAATCATCTACCACTGTTAAAAAATAACAATTTCCATCTATTGATTTCTCAATTGGTCCAACTAAATCTATGTGCCATAATTCTAAAATATCTTCAGATTGCTTAAATTTCACACTTTTATAAGATGTTCGTGTTATTTTACCTAATGTACAAGGTTCACAATTGTTTTCAGAAACTTTTACATTTTCTAATCCAATGACCGATGAGTGTTTTTTCATTTCTATCAGTCTGTGATAATTTATATGACCTAGTCTCTGATGCCATAGTACACCATTAACATAACTAATTTTAGCTTCTTCAGCAATATTTCCTTCAATTTCAAATTTATTTTCATTTCTGTTAGCTATATATAGAATGTTTCCCTGTTTATTGATCACTTCTGCTTTATTTTTGGTAAAAATTACTTTTAAATCATGATCTACAATTTTTTATACTGACAGCAGATTTTCACTTAAATTCAGTACTTGCAGAACATTTTCTACTCTCAAGATGTTCTTATTTTTATCAGTTTGCATTTTAATGTTACCAATACCAACTGATTTGATCATGGCCACTTTTTCAGCCGTCATTATTTGTCGTTGTTCATCTTTAAAATTAGTAAATATTTCTTTATTAGTTGCCATGTGAGATGTGGCTCCTGAATCAATAATTCATTTAATTTTCTATTCTCTTGTTTATTTATTTTATTCTTTCCATCATTTCTATCTTGATTAAGATATGAGCTTTCTATTTTCTTAGATACTTCAAATAAGCATGTAGCTGATTCATATTCTCTTTCCTTGCTTGACATTCTATAAGTTTTATTTGCTACATTTCTCTGCTGTTGGTGTTCTTGTTTAGTTTTCATTTTACATTCAGTTGATTTGTGGCCGAATTTTGCACAGCAGAAGCACTTTATACTATTATTATTATTTCGACATTCTTTTATTAAATGTCCTAATTTTCCACAATTAAAGCATCTTCTTTCATATTTCGATTTTATCCAGTTTTCTTTTGCCTTAGAACTTACTTCTATGTCTTTTCCTCTTTGTTTATTTTTTCCTTCTGTTTCTTTTAAAGCATGTGTAATTGAAGCTAGATCTTTCTCTTTATTGCTTTTAATAATTTTAACATCAAATTCAAATTCCTTTCTAAGTCCTTCTAGTATGAAGTCAATTAATTCTTTATCTCTTATTTCATCTCCAACTAGAATACTTTTACTTTTCAGAATTACAGCTCTATTCATATAATCGTCTACTAATTCATTTTGACTCATTTTCAGTTGAGCTAATTCTATTCTACATTTGATTTGAATATCTTCTATTCTTGCTGCCATTTCATTTTGGATTTTCTTCCATAACTTCTTTGTGTTCTTTTCATTCGCATATTTTGACGCTTGTGGAGCTGTCATAGTTTGATTCATTATATTTCTTGCTTTTCGAAATTAACATCATCCTTTTTATATGGTTTTGGTGGTTCATTAGCTTCTATCACACTTCTCCATATCTTTAAACTTCTTAATTCACTTTCAATTCTGTTGGCCCAAATAAGATAATTATCATCACTTAATTTTTCTATATGATTAAAACTTATCATATTATATGCCATATTTTCTAATTTATATTCACTAATTATAATACAAATCTAATTTGTCTCTTAGAGAAATTGGCGATTTTGTTAAGCCTAAGCAACATCAATGTTCTATCTGAAAGTTTATTAACAGGGGGCAACCACGCTCTGCTACCAAATGTTGGTTTTTTAAGATTGGCATATATATAACATTCTCAAAAGAATCATCCACTTACAACAAAAATACATTATGGCAATATACAA